GGGGCTGAGATGAGACATCATCATCTGCAGGGCTTTAATCACTAAGATTTAATCCAATTTTCCCAAGATGGCATCTATTAGTTTAAAAAAAAAATCACCATCCAGGTTTCTTGCTGGGATGATACAGCAAAATAATGCTGAGCCTACTATTTACTGTTTTAAATAGCTGTGGCATTACAGGGCTACATTTATAGTTCCTATGAGGGTTCACACTAATAGAGCTAAGAAATAATATAAAAACTTAATATGAAGCTTAAACTTAATAGGAAATCTATTTTATGAGGCAGAAATCTTATTTTCTAGCATACATTATCTTGGATAGAAAAGAGAAATACTCTTTTTGAGGGGGTAGAGGATTTAGCATGTGATGATGCTCAAGGATTTTTCATTGTCATTGTTTGTGGCAGAGCAGTGATTATTCCATCAGTGTTCTAAACAAGATCAGAGGGGTTAATCCTTATTTGGGTTACACTAAAAAGGGAAGTGCCATGGTCATGTGTAGAGCTTCTTCTGTCTGCAGGAGATATTGCGAGATGAGAGGAGGCATAAACAGCCCAAGGAGATACGCGTCTGACCTGCTTTGCTGTTAGCAAGTGACAAAGGTGTCTTTCAGCAGAACAGTTATGAGGCTGTGCTTCACAGGCAGCCATTGGAGAATGATGTGCACTTACCAATGAGAAGCTGGGCTTTGAATGCTCTCTCAGAGAACAGAGACGCTTTCTTCAAGATGAAGACTGTTGAGGAGGAAGGTGACCTTCAGAATTTGCTTTAATACAGTCCAGTTTGCTGCTAATGGCCTAATTAGGGCAAAAGCACCGTAACTTTACACTATTAAACTCATGAATTTGAAATTCTCAAAGGAAACCTCAAATTCGAAAGGGAAAGGGGGAGCCTGATACCAATTCAATTAGAAGCAGTCACAAAAGCTAATTTATTTTAAACGCCAAGGGCAATAATTTATGATCCTGTAGAAATGACATATCACATACTTACATTCTGGTAAATTTTATTCAGATCACAATGATGACTATATTTACACTATTCATGTGTTAGTTTATACAAATGTCTCTGTGAAAGGGTAACTACTGTGAAAGCTCATCTCAAATACCAATATATATAAAAAAGAAATCACCATATATTAAAAAGATCCTTTTCTAAGGAAAATGATTTCCTTTGCAGACCTATGTTGCATGGGTTCAGTCTCTTTTGGGAAGGCTGCACATTCAGAAATCATCTATATGCTGGTATACATTCTATCATCTAGTACAGTCCATGAGACCACAGTTGCTATGGCAACTCTTTTCTCAGAAGATCTCTTGCACATAGTTAATTTCTTGCTTGTTTCATTCCAATCAATGCAGCACTCTTTGAATGATATTGTTAGACCATCTTTGTGCTAAGAAAAGTAAAGATCAAACTATTTACAGGAAATTGTTCATGTTGGAGTAATCACTATTTTGGAATTTCATTGATACATTAGTTTAATTTGAACCTACCATGAGACTAATAAAAAGGTAGCAATCACAGGGAAGTAAGCTGTTCTACCAGGCAGTGCAAAGAGACTTCAGCAATTTATTATTTTCTGCAGTTAACTGATTATGTTCCAAAATTCTTCTAAAATTTACTTAAAATTTAACTTATTTTAATTTGGCACTGACATAAGGATTATTTTAAAGTGAATAAAATTAAAAGCCTAAAAGTAAACTAATCATTACAGTAAACAGATTTTCAATACGACAATTCAGTATTTTCAACAAGTGATACAGAAAACTATCTATAAGCAAACAGAATAATCATGTGCCTTCACCTTACTTCCCATGCACACTTGGATCCAGAAAGATCATAGACATAAATGTAAGAAAATAATGATGAAAACAGTTTCCCCAAATGATAAGGCAAAATGTTAATGTTAGCTTCATAAAACCTTAAAACTTCCATACCACAAAGGATGCTATCAGGGAATAAAAAAGGCAGCCTCCAGAATGGGAATTTTTGCCTATCTTATATATAATAAAAGATACCAAGAATTTCTTCAAATAATTTAAAAAAATGGTCAATTAATGAACATTTGTGTCTTTAAGGAAGAATAAGTCAAAAACACAAGGAGATACCATTGCATAGTCAGAAATGTGGCTAGAATAAAGAGCATAGACACTGTAACAGTTATTAGTAAAAACGTGAAGAAAATAGAATGGTGGTCTATTCCAGATGGGTAAATATGTGATTTAGTCACTCTGGGGATGAAAGTGTTTTGAAGGTGTTAAAATTAAGGTCCCAGATGACCTGCCAATCCCAATCCTGGATATATATATATATATATATATATATATATATATATATATTCAAAAGTAATAAAATATATCTCCTGAACACTTATACACAAATACTCATTGTACCATTATTTATCATATCCAAAAATCAGACCATTCCAAAGATCCATCACTTAATAAACTGATAAGCAAATGAATTTGATAATAAAAATTATGAACCTTGAAATAATTGCCAAATGAGAGAAGGCAGTCATAAAGAATGGAATGCCACATGATTCCATCTCTCAGAAATATCCAGGAAAGACAAATCAGAGAAGACAGAAAATGGCCTTGTGTTTTCCAAGGACTGAGAAGAAAGCAGAGTGAGTAGACAGGGCAACAGCGAGATAGGAGTGCTATGAAACTGTATAGTGCTGGTGGCTGCACACCTCTGTCACAAGTTTTAAAATGCTGAATTGTATATTTTGAGACAATTGCTCCATATGTGAATTATATCCCAGTAATGTTGCTAAAAGACATTGTTTGAAGAGAATCTTTGACCCACAATGAGACCTGATGATCATTTGACCCTCGTATATCTGTTCCAAGAATAAGAACACCATAACCAAGGCTGATATTCTGTTAAGTGTTTACAAGTTTAAGGTCAGGCTCAAATTTATGCTAACTCTCCTCTTGACATCAAACATACATAATCAAGTTACAAGTGCTCCCAGGCTGTCTTTTTCTTCCAGGTAACATCTCCATGATGTTGGCTTTCTATTCTAAGAAAGTTTATGAAGATTATCCACTTAGATCAACATCCCATCTCATACCTATTGGTCAGAAATGTAATTTGTGTTTATATTTGAGGACTACAATTTAGAACACCGATAGTAGATTTAAACAATTTGGGTTTAGCTATGTGACCAAAGGTGGGAGCTGCAAACAAGCTATCTGAACTTTTCCAATTTCAAATTGTCTATGATTTATTAAAAAAGAAAAAGGACACTGAGATCATGATAATATGAGAGCCCTTCGAACAAATGCATACAGCTTCTTAGCTGAGTACTGAACAGATGTAAAGTAGATTGGAAATGATAAGGAGGGTGCTTCTAAGGGAGATGTGGCTTCTCAGGAACAGAAAATGAAGTCCAAATCCATGAAGTTGGGATAGACAAGTGGTTTATGTCTCCATCCTGAGGTTTCTACTATCATCATGACAATGTATGCAAAATAATGCATTATTATGGGAGCAGATAACTTCTCCCATTTCCATGTTTTTCAGACATTCACACAAGCACCTCTGCACACACACCTATGGACATACACACACACACACACACACACACACACACACACACACACACACACACACACACCAAACAAACAGAAAACTAGCCAAAACACTGAGAATACTAGAAAAATCAAGAGGGTAAAATGAAAGCCATAGATATGAAAGTAACTTTCCTTAAGTTCCTTTGCCCCCTCTCCTGTACTGTTGATTTCCTCTTTGTCCCATGCATCTATCGACTCACCAAAGAGAAACAAGTGAGATTATTAGAACACTCACAGCTGGAGAGATGTGAACCACAGTGTTCAATAATATATTCTGAAGAGTTTGCTTCCTTGCCAAAATACAAAATATATTAAGCACGTGTAAATAAGTCTCAGAAGGAAAAACTAAAAATAAGTTGTTCATCCACTTTATATAGTGATGTAATTTTCATTAAATATTTGCCATTCCATATATGGGTAGTATGTGTAAACAGACCATGGTATTTTCCAAAACTAAAATTTGTTCCTGTCTTTCTGTGGCATGAAGGATTTTATGAGAACACACTAATAAGAAGGAATCAAGCCAGAGAGCATGGCAAGGAACTGTCAGTGACTCAAGGATGGAAGTGATCTCATTCAATCACCAAAACCCATATGTAGGAGTAACTTGTATTCCAATATATGGATGAAAAAACAGGTACCATGGAGTGGCGTGGAACACATGGCCAATAGTTCACAGAAGAAGAAGTTAAGTGTAATTTTTAATAATAGCACTATTGAACAATAATTCATATGTCACAAAATGCATTCAAAATATGCTGAAATAGCAAAACTCATACTCTGTGCCAGACAGGGAAGCTTTATTCTTGTTGAACAATGACAGTGAAATAAGAACTGTTATTGTACCAGGAACAAGAGAGAAAACTGTGGAGGTCATGCCTTAGATGTCAATATTCTATCACAGGTGATGATAAAATCAGACAGAGAAAGACTAGATTTTTTAAGTTGAAACAACGAAACTCTAGGTCATCATATCTGCACGATAAATTGAGTTCTGATCCCAGCCATAAGAATTATACCATATGTTACCCCTGCAATGGGTTTTGTTCAAATTCCAGATCCTTCTCTTTTATTAGCTATGAGACTTTAAATTGGATAGTTCAGAGATCCCATTTCCTCGAATAGATAATACAGTTTGCGTATAATGTTTATTCAGTGTTTTTATTTTTTTCTCAGTGTAACTTTCTGGTCTACAGAGCACCTTTCTCCTGCTTGTCTCCTTCATTCCCAAAATTCTGAGAAGAAAAGAATATTAAACAAATCTTAACAAATTTCAGTTTGAATTGGCATATACATTCCCTCTGTGTGGCTTGTGGTTCTAAGAGCAAAAGTTGTTTAGCTTCTCAAAGAGGGGAAGAAAGAAAGGGGTGGACAAAAAACGAGGCACTGAGGAACAAAGAATAAGGAAGCAAATACCATTTCACTACAGGTGTCTACTCCATCTGCCTCTTACAACATTTCTTCACCCTTTTCAGTGATGAGCCTTGGAGAGAGGGTGTGTGATACAGATGTCTCAGAATTGATCATTCTGCAATCTTTTATTCTCTGCAGGTGGACCAGTAGTGGAGGTATCTTCATTAATCTCCATCTACTGGAAAAAAAAGGAGCTTCTCTGATGAGAGTTGAGAGAGGCATTAATCATTGAGTACAAAGATAAGATTTTTAAGGGTTAGCTTATTACTGTGTCTACTGATAGCAACATTGCACACATGACTGCACACTAAGACCTGCAAACTATCCAAAGAGCCAAAATGCCAGCATGAATGGGGGAGAGCACACAAACCATTACAAGTTTGAAGCCTACAGTCATTTTTAGATGTTTTTCCAGTTAAAATGACAGCCCCTATACATACAAATAATATTATATAGACTGAATAGGTTATAAATATAATCCACATATATTATTTATTTTATATATGGGAATTCATATATATTTATACATAATATATTTATACATATGACTTACATATGACCTATATATAAATATATGATACATATAGGAATCATATTTATAACCTATGTTATATTTAAATATACATAATATTAAAGATATAAGAACAATTAAAGTAAAAGCCTATGAATTTTAGAGAGAGCAGGGGTTACATAAGAGATGTAGGAAGGAAAGGGAAAATGATGCAATTATATTTTAATTCAGTAAAAGATCAATTAATTTTGAAAATGAGCTTATGTCCTTCAGAATGAGCTGCTATTATGTGTGGAAGAACATTTCTATCATGTGATGCTGGTGAAGGAGCATGGCAAGTTGTCTATTTTTTTTTTCTAGTCAGGTGTGGGAAAGCTAAAAGAAAATAAACAGGTCTGTAAGAGAAGACAGGGTCAACAGCTGAAAGCATCATGTGGGCTTGTTTCCTTAAGGAAGTTCCTTAGACAAACGACCCAAAACTAGGGTTGTAAGGTACCTTGCAGGCTGCCATGAATTTTCATTAAAACCTTTCACCGTAATGAAATATATTAAGCTATTCATTCAGAATTACCATGCTCTAATTCAAAGCAAAATGTGTGCATTTTCAGAACGTTAGCAAAATAAAAATAAAGGTAATCTTAGAAGACATGAACTGACTCATTTATACCGAGCCCTATGAACCAAACACAAGCAAGAATGTGAGAATGAGTGACAGGTATCCTTGTGTCCAGCCACACTTGGAAAGGAGATATAGCAGCAATATTGATAAGCATGTTAACTTCGAACCCATAAATTTAGTCTCTGCATTCTCTAAACCAATGTTCTTCTCATTTCAAGCTGAGAGAGGGAGGGAGTGATCCCATAATGTCTAATAGATGTTTCCTTTCTCTGCCTCACACCTCATTTGTATATGGGGTTAATTGCTTATTGGCTTCTAATTATTTCTTGCAAATCTCTACCAAATTCCTGAAACTATAGACCGAAGCTCATGAAGAACAGCAGGGGACATTTGCAGACTGTTGAGGGTCACATAGTCGATTTTACTTTGTGTGTGTATATGTTTACTTAGATGTGTGGGTATGTGCAGATGTATGTGTGTCTATGTATGTACATGTATGTGGCAATCAGAGGGTAACATTGCCATTCCTTAAGCACTGCTCACCTTTTGTTTGTGACAGGTCTCTTCTTGGCTTAGTAATTTTCCAAGTAAACTACAAAGAGTTTCCAGGGATCCATTGCCTTCAATTCTCAACTTGCTCTCTCTGAGATGACAGGTATTTGCTACTGTGCCTGGATTTTTAGATAGGATTTGGGAAATCTGGATGCTGGTCATTATAGTTACAAAGCAAACACTGTATCTACTGAGCTTCCCTCCATCCCAGTCTCACTTTTTAAAGTACACACACCTGTCAACTATATTTTGTGAGGCAATTGAGTGAAACTTGACAACGTTGCCTGTTCCGATTAGTATTCAAAGACAAAATTTACACAGCTTTTACAAAATTTGCAACTCAAATTCCAACACCAGAAAGGAAGCAGATTGAATACTCTGATCTGCTGAAGACAATACAACAGAGTTCCCAAACAGCCCTGACTTCATAAAAGCATTTTCTTCAGTCAATCTGTGCTGTTTATCTTTTCTTCCTCTGGAAACATTTTTATAAATGGCAGTAAGTGAAGGTAACATAAAATTTACCACAGTCATCATCTTTGGTAGATCACTCTAGAGGTAAATGATCATCACTGCTATCCAGTTATGCTAGGACGTTTTCATCATGCTAAGTACAAACTTCATCCCAACTAAACAGCAGTGACTCATTGCCTCCCTGACCCCTCATCATCTCTAGCAGACTAAAGGCTTCTCTGAGCTCCTCTATTCTAGGTACATTCTAAGTGAAATCATACAGGATGTGCCTTAGTAGACACAAGGTAGACACTGGCTTATTTTCACCAACATAGTTTTCCCAAGTGCTGTAATTTATTTTGTAATTTCCACCACAGATCTACATAGTAGAGAGTAGGCACCCAGCCCATAGTGCTCTTCAGAGGTGATGGACCCCTCAAGTGATGGGGCCTACTAGGAGGACCTTAAGTCATTGTATATATGAGCTAGCTGGGGATGACCCTTTCTTTCTCCTTCATTTTCTTCCTAGCCACACAATGATGAGGGCAGTTTCCTCTGACATGTATTTACAAAGTTCTATGTGTCACTTGATAAGCAATAGGCCAACCTACTACAGATAGAATAAACCTGTCTTTTATGTTGATTGTCTCAGGCTTTTTGTTACAGTAATGGAAAGCTGACTAACCTACCAAAGGGGGTCATTCCTGTTGGAACATGCTTTAGAAATGTATTCATTTTGGTGGTTGAATTTTGTAAGGTAGTTCTATTTATATAGAGATTTTATTTTTGACAGCAGATCAGAAGGGTGTATGCTTGCTAGGGAAGTGGACTAATATTGAGCTATATCCCCACCCCTACCTCTCCCAAATGTATGTAAATAAGGTATGTATTCATTATCTGTTGGGACATTCAATTATTTTTTTACATTTTAAGGAAGCAAGCAAAGTTCATCAAGATGGTACAATAATGTAGACTTATGGTGAACATCTAGATCTTTTAAAAACAGGGTCTTTAAAATAACATTGTAGTCTCTTGTACCAGATAGATGACAGCTCTCTTCACTGTTGGGTCACTTTTTAGAAATTAATCACCATGCAGGTTTTTGCCTTTTCTCTATTCTGTCTTCTGCCTTGGTTTTCCTGGTGGCTATTCCTGTGTCCTACTTGGCAGTTTTGATCCCCAGAGATTTACATATTTTAATGATTAGTCACCAGGAGTGGCACTGTTTGAAAGCATTAAGATGATTAGAAGGTATGACCTTGTTGGAGTAGGTATGGCCTTATTGGAAGAACTTATGTCACTGGGGGTACACTTTGAGGTTTCAAAACCCATGCTAGGTCTAGGCATGTGAGCATACTCTCTCTCTCTCTCTCTCTCTCTCTCTCTCTCTCTCTCTCTCTCTCTCTCTCTCTCTCTCTCCCTCCCTCCCCCC